CCCCAAAACCCCAAAACCCCAAAACCCCAAAACCCCAAAAATTTATTCCAATTTTGAACTTTTAGAAAGATCTAGCCTTTTCTTAAAGCACTGTGAATCAGGGATTCTTCCCCCTTGTTCACTCGTAAGATGTTCCTAGGCGTAATCTCTAAAGGGATAGGATGACTTAGACTTACTTTTGAGGTTAAGAATCTTCTTATTCTTTTCAAATCCCATATATGGTACTACTTCAGAAGCCTTCTTGCTGCTAAGCCAGTAGATATCTGAAGAACCCTCCTTGTTCTGGGAAAATGTGTTATCTTTCGGAGATTTTTGAGGAAAGTGGTCGAACTTAAAATTATCCAAATTCTTGCCTACTTGGTAAATGGTAAAATTACCTTCTGTGTGTTTCTTTAATCCAAACAATGAAGTTGAACTTAGCTTGTGCTTCTCAATTGACTCCTGATTATGTAACCTGCCAGTATGAGCTATCCTATTATTACTATTCTTCCCTCTATCTCTATGATGAGTAGCTGCTCTTTGAGCTGAAATATTTAAGCCAGCGCCAGACTTTTTCAGGATCTCACTCTGATTAACCTGCTTTTGTGGTTTATATGTATTTTTGGCAACTTTCTTGAGCCGGTTCTTGATCTTCCTAGCCATGATCCTCTTGCTCATGGCTGGTTGTGTGACTGCCATATCCTCAACATCGCTTGTCTCCCGATCACTGAGGGATAAGAACTTCTGCATAGTCATAAATCCCTCCTGGTTGAGCCTAAATCTAGTCATAAAGGTTACTTTTTGTTCATATTTTGGTAGTCTTGCTCAATTATTTTCAAGTAAGCATTAACTTCATTTATGCGTGAATCTGTGTTTAGGATTGAAGTGTAGAGCATCTTGCGTTCGTTAAGGATTTGACTGATTCTTTCGTTAGAGTCAGTGACATCGTCTTGTAATTTGGAAAGGGAACTTGGTGGTAATGAGGAATGAAGCTGGAGGTCTAGGAGGGCTAGGTGAGTTGGAGAGTGCTTTTTTGGAAGATTGGGGTTGGTGATATTGAAGGGGAAAATTCATAATTGAGATGGAATTTGTGAAAAATTGTAAAATAGGTATATATTGATTGTTAAGTTTCTTAGTTTGTTAATAGAGTTGTACAAGAAGATACATTTATACAATTTTATTAGCCTAAGTTTTTGTCCAGGTATGCTTACCTTTTGCATCAATCTGTTTTTGTAATTTCTCAATAGCATCAAGAATCTTGGAGTCCTGATGAACTTCAGATTTATTCTAAATCTAAAACTCTAAAATTACTATTAATTTTTCTAGCTAGACTATCGAATTGGCTCTTAATCTTTTCAATCTCAGTATCAAGGTACTTGTTAACTGGCACTAGCATTTTTGTACCATTCTTTATAACCTTAACATGCATAAATGTTGATACAGCTTTATCCAACTTCTGGTTGATATCTTTCCTGAATTTTTTCAGCTTCCCTTCTAATTCGGTTCTAAAATCCGCAAAATCCCCCTCTAAGCGATATTTTAGCTGGCTTAGAGGAGGCTCTATATATCGGTTATGGCTTTGGCCTTGAAAAATTTTAAGGCACAATTCCTCAATTTGGAGAGATAACATTTGCGAGATTTCCAAGACAGTTTGTGCAATATTTAGCATGGAAAGTGTAAAAACTAGTTACATCAAATTAAGAGATCTTTGCTCTTGAATTAGCATAGAAAGTTTCATAATATAAGAAAACATTCGAATATTTCAAGAACTATGAACATACTTTCACTGATCAACTGCTCTATTTGAGTGCTAAGATGAGCTAATTCTTCCTTAGTTGCATACACCTATTTAAATTAGCACAAGGGCTACATCTAAGAGACCTGAATGTTGAAGATCTGAGTTCTGCTGGTAGAAATGGATCGGATTAGTCATATTCTTAGGCATTCTTGTAATTTTACTATAACTATGAGCGCGGAAATCTACCCCTTAGATTCCTCAGACATGGATCTGACAATTTCCTTAACTTGAATAACATTGCCATGATCTGCTAGAGATCACTTCCTGGTAGTGATCTTCATCGGTGAGGCGTTGGAAGTCTATTAAGATTAGAATACAGCAGGCTTACTTTCTCTGCATTCAATTCCTCTATATCCCTATCTACTCTATTCGACTCAACTTCATAGTTAGTGTTTGTATCAGACATTTTAAATAAATGAAAAACTTTGGGGTTTTGGGGTTTTGGGGTTTTGGGG